AGCAGCACAGAAGTAAGGGTGGCAACACCATACCATGACATCTGTTCTTTTGCACTGCTGCTGCCGCTGGTTGCTCTGCCTTCAGAACTCGATTCCTGGCCAGCAGCAGCCACTTTACAGCAGCTCAGCTCTGAAGGCAATGCTGCTACCTTCAGCTGTGCAGAAGTAAGTGTAGCAATACACAATCCCCATACAATAAATTGGTGAGCCCTGCAAAATTCCTCTTTGGGTCAAGACCCCTACAATTACAAATACATGAAATTTCAGATATAAATATCTGAAATAATGAAATTTACCATTTAAAAATTCTATGACTGTGAAATTGACCAGAATGGACCATGAATTTGGTAGAGCCTTATACATAGCTATTGATTAAAATGAGCTGTTATCCATTTCTTTCAATGGGCATAGTAGACTCTGAGGCATTCATGGCAACATACAAACTGTTTGAAGTTGATCTCTGGGGACAGTCACATGCAAAATGCAACATCTCATTAGGATGAATTTTCCCAGGGCAAATAATTCTTCCGGACTTTTTTGAGAGGACAATTGGACATTTACTTCTGTGTCTCTTGAATGAAGGTGGCGGAAACCACTCCAGAGAGAATGACCCAGCACTCTATGAAGGATTTGTGTCCCAACTTTTGCCTCCTTAGGCAAGCATATGCTTATTTTAGCATTTAACCTTTCAAACAGCCTGGGTGAGATTGTGAGGAATTACCTCATATTTAAAGTTCTAAGTACTGTATTGTAAATTCCCCTCTTCACTAGCATGTATCTTCTGACTGAACTGCATAGTGGTTAGACTGGATGACCCTTGCAGTCCCTCCTAGTTCTATGACTATGTCAACCAGCTAACCTTGTCCTGTTCATAAACACACAGTTATCTGGACTGTTTTTAGAGACTGGAGGTTGCTACACAATCTGGATCCTGACCTACAGCCTCTCCAAGTTTGAGAGTGTTTGAGTTCAGGCAGTTTTGGGTCCCCCACCCTGACCCGAGACCACACTTAGGATCCTAGGATTAGAAGAGACCACAAGGGTCATCTCATCTATGCCCTCCCCCCCCCCCCCCCCCGCCCCCCC